CCACTCCTCCCACCGTAAGACGCAACTACAACCTGCGCAGCCAGTCCTCCCCAAGTGGGACAAAAAACGTTGGATATCGAACACCTTTGAAACGTTCATTCGTCCCTGACTACACGAACTAGGTAAAAGACAAAATGTTTATTTTACAATGGAACACAGGCGGACTCATATCTCACCTGTCAGAATTTAAACAACACCTAAGAAAATCGGCACCTCTACTCGCCGCCATTCAGGAGACCCATTTTCGAGACAATGACGTGTACAACTTTTCGGTTCCAGGATATTCATTGTACCAAAATAATGTGATGTCGTTGCATCGCCAAGGAGGTGTCGCTTTATACGTTTCTAACTCTATTCTCCATCACGAAGTTAAACTTACAACAACCCTAAACGCAGTAGCAGTACATGTAACGCTATTCCATTGTGAAATACTCATTATGTCCTTATACCTCCCACCAAACTCTCCATTAGTTACTGCTTCCAAGATCGATAATCTCCTTGCTCAAATGCCGAACAACAGTTTGATATTAGGAGATTTGAACGCTCACAGCCCTCTATGGGGTAGTCAGCGATTGTCGTCAAGAGGTTCACAGGTGGAAGCATTGCTAAACAAACATTCACTGATATGTATGAATGATGGTTCTCCCACTTTCATGAGCTTTAGCTATCGCACGACATCTGCGATAGATCTGTCCATTGCATCCCCACGAATTGCGCCAAAGTTCCAATGGTCAGTGACAACGGATCCATTATTTTCTGATCATTTCCCTATTCATGTGATTCTTACCAGTGAGACTCCAACACTGCCTCCCACGCCAACAAAAAAATGGTGCACTAAACACGCAGACTGGACAGCTTTTAATGCGGCTGTTACGCGCCTGTCCGGCTATAACGAAGACTTGGACATGAATGAATTCTTACAAATCATCCATTCGGCAGCTTTAGAAACTATTAAGACGGTAACAATTACCCAGAAAACTGGCCAACCAGGGAATGTCCCTTGGTGGAACTGGAAATGCCAGAGGGCAAAGGCCCTACGGCGTAGAGCTCTGCGCAACTTCCAAAGATGTGTCTGTTCTTACCACGCAGACCTATACTCACAAGCACGTAAGGCCTGCTCTGAAATCTTAAAACAAGAGAAGCAGGAGGCGTGGAGAGCGTTTGCTGCTAAATGTAACCGAACTACCCCATTGGGAGAGGTTTGGGGACAAGTCAGGACTTTTTCATCACATCGAAATACGCTACGATCTTTCCCTCAGCTAGAAATAAACGGAACACGAATCTCTGAATGTGATGATGTTGTCCAGGCATTTGCCCAACATTTTGCGAACATTTCATCAACAGATATATATGATCCATTTACCCATCAAACTCTGACTAATTTAACGAACGGCATCGATTTTCAATCGGACAATAATGAGACTTACAATGAGCTTTTCACTTTAAAGGAACTTAAGATAGCGCTGGACAAATCAGATGACAAGACCTCTGTGGGTCCTGATGGACTACCCTACTCTTTCTTTCTCAATCTAAATGAGATGAACCTTACAACCTTCCTTTGCGCTATAAATAAGCTCTGGTTAAACCATACCTTTCCGCCAACTTGGCTTCAAAGCATAATTATTCCTATATTGAAGCCAGGAAAGAATAGACATTGTGTAGACTCTTACCGACCAATTTCACTAACGAACTGCGCCTGCAAAATCATTGAAAGGATGGTTAATGTCAGACTGCGTTTCTACTTAGAAACGAATGAGCTTATTGATCCCTTCCAGAGTGGATTTAGAGGACAGCACAGTACCGCAGACAATGTTAGTCGGCTAATCTCAGACGTACGAGCTAACTGGGAATTACGTCGTACAACGGTTGCTGTGTTTCTTGATCTCAGTTCGGCCTTCAATAAGGTTCACAGATCCACAGTTATATATAAGTTGCATGCCCTCGGCATTCGTGGCCATCTTGCAAAGTTCCTTTGCAATTTTATGCAACCTCGTTCCTTCACCGTCCGGTGCCAACATTCCCTCTCAAACCCTCACGTTCTTGCACATGGAGTCCCCCAAGGAAGTGTTCTTTCTCCGACACTGTTCCTCATGTCTATAAATGATATATTTCTTACCCTCCCTCGTTCCCTGATTTCGATTCGTCACTCCCTATTTGCAGATGACCTTGCCATTTGGTGCTCGAATGTAAATTGTGAGATTTCCTTTTCAGTCGTTCAAAAAGCTATTGATCATTGCGCCAATTGGTGTTTAACATGGGGCTTTTTCCTTTCAGCACCCAAATCAATCATGATGATCTTTAAACGTGGCCCGGTTCCATCGCTTACAAACTCTCCCCGAATAAACAATGTGCCGATCCCCTATCAAAGGACCCACAAGTTTCTTGGGATTACCCTTGACTCTCGGCTAACAATGCAACCACATGTGGACGACATTCGCACCAGATGCATGAAACGACTCAACGTTCTGAAGTGCATTTCTGGATATACGTGGGGAGCAGATCGGAAGACTCTCCAAATGCTCTATGTCGGCTTGATTAGGTCAACACTAGAATATAACGGGTTTCTTCTTAGCAATGTCTCGTCCACTTTATGCAGGCGTTTGGAAACAATCCAAAGTACCTGCATGAGGATAATCACGGGTGGTTTTCGAACATCCCCTGTTCTCGCCCTACGTGCTGACACCAATCTACCCTCTCTAGCAGATCGTAGAGCCTTTTTGCTTTTGCGCTATTATTTTAAGGTCAAAAGCATTCCTAACCATCCAGCACTACTAGCAATGGAGACACACAGAACATTTCCCATGCGGATGCCTCTACATAGGACTTCCTCTATTCCCCAGGCTATATGCTGTGCGAGAGGTATGTTTAATATACCTTCGCTAAATATAGCCAAGAGACCCCCTCCATACCCCTTCTGGGTTTATAACGTTCCATCCATATCATTCTTAATCTCATCCACTAAATCTAATTTATCCAAAACCGATATCCAGATGTGTTTCCATGAATACAGAAACGATTACCAGGATGACTCATTTTTCTTTACAGACGGGTCTGCCCTCAATGGCCGGGTAGGAGCTGCGGCAGTTGGCCCATCGTTTAGGTTCACCGCCCGCCTGCCAGATTCCTTCACAGTTTTTTCTGCGGAAGTGTATGCCATTGAAAGAGTCCTATGCCATATTAGGGAAAATGAGGTCCCACAGGCGACCATTTGTACGGACTCAAAATCTACTCTACAAGCTCTTCAACGAGACTATGATATTTCGCATCCCGGCGTGTACAGAGTTTGTAAACTGCTGCATTCTCTCCAAACCAATCAATGTGTTACCCTGCTGTGGATCCCTGGTCACTCTGGTATTGCTGGTAATGAATTGGCTGACTCATTGGCAAAACAAGCAACAATGCTCCCCACCGCAGAGGACTATCCAGTAGCCCTTGGGGATGTACTTCACATTACGAAAAGCCGTTTCTCTCAATTCCTTCAGAAGCAATGGGAGCAAAGTCATGCAAATCATATGTACTCTATCAAACCGAAATTACGTGAATGGCATTCATCCTACCAACGGAATAGGAAAAAGGAGATCCTATTAGGTCGGCTCAGGTGCGGTCACACCCGGTTGACACATAGCCACTTGTTTGAGCGCTCTGGACCTCCAATATGCGCCACGTGCAATGTACGACTCTCTGTGGAACACATCCTGATTAGCTGCACAGCTTTAAGCCAGGGCCGTCGCCATCTGAACGCCTATCTACGCTCGCACGGTCTTGCAAACGACCTACGCACCCTACTTGGTGACGAAGATCCAGCACTCACTGACCTCGTGCTGGACTTTGTCATCAATTCGCCTTTTTCTAACAAGATATAAACCGACTGATATCGACGGTCAGGTCTGCAACAACGGCTAGACCAAATGGCCCCTCACACTGCACAACAGGGTGTGCGGTACCGGTCCTGGAGGAGCGACCAGGCCCGGACCGCCTACCCAACACGTAGTTCGAGTGCTAGTCCCACACACGTGCAATACGGTAGGGGCTCCTCCGGGTCTGGAAGTGCGGCTGGACCTAGAGGGCGTGCTCAACACCCTTCACCAATCGGTGGGGGCTCCTGAACTGGGAAAGTGTCAAGTCCTGGACCCCCTACTCCATACGCTTGCAGATGCTTGCTGCATCGGGTCTGGAAGTTCGGCCGGACCTTGAGCTCTTGAGCTTGCATCGTAATCCTGGCTGACCCTCTATTCGCGTACGAGAGGGCGCTCAGTCCGTGACTAGGCACTCGGCTAACGCTATCAGATCACCACACGCGGCTCTGACCCAACTTGTCTGCCAACCGTGTGCGCCATTGTTTGTGGTCCGGGTCCGGCTATGTAACTTAGCGTAGCCACTCACATTCATCTGGCTTCAGCCCCAGCCTATGGGAGAAGCACATTTCTGCGAACCTTCACCCGCAAAGGTGAGATTGAAGGTAGGAAAAACGTCGTAACGTAAATAATGGGGTTTTCCCCACACATATGGAACGTAAACCTCCCCGCCCCTTTATTAGGCCAATGTGAAGAGGCGCTTGTAATTCCTCCCCTTGCTACTCCAAGTTGCATATGTGTGGGTTTCCCCATTTTGTCTGCACAAAGTGGCCACCGGCCCACCGGGCTCACTTCATGGGCCCGGCTTGCCTACCTCCTCGCGAGGCTAAAAACGAAAGTTGTGGCCACTAAAAAAAAAAAAAAAAAAATTGCCTTTCTCTGTTTGTGGTCGTGAGTTGAGGGGTTTTCGGGTTTATTTTATTTTATTTTAATATTTTCACACAATTAATTACTTTTGTTTTTTGCTTAGAGGCTAGAGCCCTATGGTAAACAGTAACCTACGTAATTTTATACGGCCTTGGCTACCAATAAGGCTAGTTTATTTGAAATTCAAGCTTTTTGATAATTCTGACGATGACAATACACTCAGAATATCAATATGCAACTTGCAAGTAGACTGAAATCAAGAAATTGAAATGCCTGGCTGAGACTGAAAAAGCTTTTGCTGTTATGCTCAGGGTAGTCATATGTGTATGCAATTAGTATCATTGACGTCATCGGTCATTCTGATGTCATTTGTGGCCAAATTGCCATAGCCCCTGAAAAAAAAAATTGGTCACAATGTGTAAAATAGATGCCTGGAGGGGTCCTGAATGTTTGCTGGTGATATCTCCAGCTGTTAAGGAGATATCTATGGAAAAGTACATGGGCCCGTTCCCATTTCCCCTCCTCTATGGGGCGTAGGCTAAGGATCACAATCATATCAAATTGGATTCAATTGCAGGCTGCAGCCCCATGGCCTCAACGGGCTCAACTTAGTCAAAATCATTGAGAGGAATCAGTAAAGGGTATCCGCAATGATGCGCCAGTGCCAGACCATGAGATAGAAAGTGAGCCAAAAGACCACACCATTCCATGCATTCCAGTTCAAGAAAGTTTGCCACCATCCTTACGAGAAATAAATGTATAATAATAGCATCATGGGCTTCGGAAATCCACACTGGTGAGGTGAGGCACACTGGTTATTTGATAGGCTAGTGCCTGGTGGCAACTGGCAGACTGGCCACATTGATTCTTCAAAGCATTTTGATTTTGAAAGTGCTTTGCCAGTGCTGTAGCTCACACTTCAGCTTCAGGCTGGCACAATGTGACACCATTCATTAGCTCAATGTTTCAGTTGTTATGTTGCGTTGCAGTCATGTCATGGTTCATTTCAGATGTTATCATATTCGTGAATTCAATATAAAATTGAAGAGTTCTAGCTATACTATTCAGTGTTCATCAGTATTAGTTTCAGATGGTTATCATATGACAAGGATTATGATGTTCTGATGCTTATTGTTTTGCAAGAAAGACCTGGCCAGCATCAATTAAAATGGACATCACTACAGATGAGGCAATGCCAGAGCAGGGTTTGGTGAGTTTGTGCTTAAAGGAAATAGTTCACTTTTAACATGGGATTTTGAACTGGAATAGCAGTTTCGTAGCTTGAGCTGAGACTAGCACAAATCAGGAGCTTTTACGGCTCAACGATCACCCTAGACGAAGATATTCCATTTCTCGTTCCGAAAAGAGTGCCTTGCAGAGGAATGTGTGCCTTGCACAGGAATGCAGCCACGTCATCGTCAGCCAATCAGCATGCTGCTTACAGCTAATGCAGCATGCGTAGGTTTGAACTACGCAATATGATTGGTCAACGCGTAATAAGCTTCCGCGTCAATCATTATTTTACATAGAATATAGTTCGTCCTATATTAAAATATAGAAAATAATTGTTTTTACAAAAAGGATTTATTTTATTTTCTGATCATTTTGAGCATAAAAAATCGTAAATCCATAGGAAAATACTAATTTCAGGAAAGTGAACTGTTTCCTTTAAGTGTTCCATGCCATACCTAGCATTAATTCACATATTTTTATGCTTATGTAGTTATGTACCAATTTTAAACAATTCAAACTTAATAAATTTTCAGCTGTTTGTCAAAATACAAGTAGTTTTGTAGTCTTGAGTTTTATATGTGTTCTTAAAAGTGTTTCGAATGCCTATTTTTTTGTAAGTAAATGGCTATGCAATGTCAAGATATAAACCTTTGAATTGGCCTTGCCACTCTGATGTGATTTGCACTCCTATTCACTGTGCATTATGCCTCATGTGTTACAGGTGAATTCAGGATGGAGCACCTTACCCCATGAAGTGTTGGCACAGGTGGGTGCAAAAAGAACAATTCAGATCACAATTAAGATAGAATGTTTGCAATTACATGAATTTGTCTTTCTTTTATATAATGTAAAACATGGACTGACCAAGAGCAAACTTTTAAGTAATGAATATCGCTATATCAAAATTGTTTTCATTTAGAGCTACAATGATGTCTGTAATATGTTTTTTGAGTTTTGATTGCTGGAATAACCTTAAAATTCCATTTGTCAGATTGTCTGCAGCTGTGTTTGGGTGGTCTTTCACTGCCTGTTGGGTCGCTGCTGCAGTGGCTCTGCCCCCCTCACATCTGGTGCCTGTCGGCTGTCTGCCTGTCGCTGCAGATATTCAGTTACCTGGATGTGAGCTCGATCGGCCGCTGCGGCCGCGTCTGCCGCGGCTGGACCGAGGCCGTTCACGACATCCTCCTCTGGAAACACAAGTTCGCAGAGGACTTTGGCCTCGATGTCACTGCCTGCAAGCTGCCTAAGCCAACCAAAACTGGTCAGTGGGCAGTTGGGCACAACGATTACAGCATTTTGCAGATTTTTTGGGAAGGGGACGGTTGGGGACGTGAGGGGTCTTCATTCGAATCATTGATAACTTTTCCCATACGACTTACGAGCCTCAACCTATGCAAAAATTTGCTAATGGAACTTTTCTTGAGGAGCCTTTTCTTTTTACGAACATCGTCCCATGCGAACCTTTCTCATCCAAAGATCTTGCACGCAAACCTCTATGTTTACAAACTGAATGTTTACGACCTTCGCCCGGATGCCTTTCCTTCCCGGCCGGAGAGTAACTCGCCGTTCGGCCGCCAGGTGGCAGTGTGACGTGGCGCAGCGAGTACCGTCGCGTTGTGGAGACGACGCCGTGCTTTCTGACGGACGAGCTGCACGACCACGACCATCAGGTGCTGCACGTGTCCTTCTCGCACGACGGACGTCACTTCGCCACCTGCTCCAAGGATGGCCATGTCTTGGTGAGTAACCCGGACAGTCCCACATATCCTGGTAGGTAACTAAGGAGGAATGATAGATGAAGTTCAGTTTTAGTTTATTACCCAAGCATCTTATGGAGCATCCTTTTAAGAAAGCTGGCAGAGGGCTGGCAAGAAAGATAGCAGCCCCATTTCATGTGGCTTACGATGCTGGAAGCTGACAAGGCGAAGCTGCCACATGCGAAATCAGGCGGCTAGTTGTCTGCCTCCACATAAATGCGTAACCTTCCGGCGGGTATTTAGTATGTGGACGGCCACCTCTGTACGCTATGTCACTGACTCACTTTGGAGGCCAGTGAAACTGACGCCCTCATCCCCTTCTCACAGCTCTGGGACGCAGCGCACCCGGTACGGATCCGACAGTACCGTGACATGCGTATATTCGGCTGGAAGTACACTCAGTTCTCCGAGTTTAACGCCGATGACTCGCTTCTGCTCGTGTCCGGAGTGCATCTGGGAGACCACAGCATCACTGGAGAGATTGCCGTCTTCACTGTGGACGGTAGGTCTCGGACGGGGTGGATAGTGGATATTGATGGTGGTATGCTGCTCGGGGCCGTCGGGCTAGGATAATAAAAGTGTAATATATTGGCAGGAATGATACGGGTAGGATGACCCCGCATTGAGATTGCTATTCATTATTCAATTATCAATTGGAATATTGTGGTGTCTGTGAATGCGACAGTTTTCATCAGCATAGCCTAGACCGCTTGCCGAAGAAGTGATCTTCATGTTATGTGGCTCATGTCCTATCTCCATGTTTTCCTCCACCTCCAGATGAGTTTGAGCTGCAGTGTCGGATTGAGAACAAGCCCTACGACATTTTCGGCACCTGGTTCAACAGCGAGTATGTTGTGTCGGGTCAGCTGCGGTGGCTCAGCCACGACACGGTCTCAGAGTCCAAACTGTGGCTCAACAAGGTAAACTGGCCGTCTGAACTACGATCGTGCCAGAAATGTGAGATGTTTGTGTCCCAGTAACAATAACTTTAGGCCTAACTGGAATTAGTGATCATCCAAGCTACCTGCAGTCTTAGGTAAAGTATATCAGTTTTAGCTTTAATAGTTTTCGTGCCATTGGTGCATTTTGTATCGTGAACTTTCCCTTTATAATGACCTCTCGCCCCGGTCGTTTGCAGGCGAATCAGGAGATCACCTCAGAGCACATCTCAATCGTGCAGCCCATGTTCCGCTTCTTCAACGGCAACGTGTGCTTCTGCCGGATGCTACGGATCGCCGAGTTCTCCGTGCAGCCGTCGGTGATCTGGGACGGGGAGATTGCTGAGCGCGCACAGACCGGTAACCCGATGTCGCGCGCCGCCGCGCCGCCCGGCCAGCGCTGGGTGGGCCTGGGATGGCGCGAGGTGGAGCCGGATGGGGAGGCCGGCCAACAGCTGATGGATACCGGAGAGCCCCCGCCGCCACCGCGGCCGCCGGTCGGCGCGGCAGCGGGTGATGAGACGAGGATGGTGAGTGGGTGGGTGTCATGGGAGCGGGTCGACCAATGAGTAGGAGGTAATTCGCAGTGGTTCCTAGTTGACGTTCATGTGTTCTCGTATTCACAATCGTTTTATGATGAAATTATATGCTTATTTTGTCATGATCTGTATTTAATGTGACCGTTTTCTTTCAATGATTTCAGCCAGGGAAGGAGGAGAAGCGACGAGTGAAATATTTGATCTTCACAACTGGATCAAAAACTTACACACCGCATCAAATTGGTGTGTGCCTTTTCTTGTAAATCCCTCGAAGCTCATGATTGGTTTTTACGCTCCATGGTCCTTTTTTAATGTCTCGTCATACATTTAAAACTGAATTCTGATGTTTTCATCTTGATTTACGGACGATACTTGCTGCCGTTAAAGGCGCAATCTGCTTGCTAACTAGTGCATCATTTCACATCACTTTTTAACGTCCCTCTTCCACCCTCATTCAGGCTTCAAGCGTCTGGATGGTTTTCGGATCCAGACTCGAATCGCTCCTGGTCCGTCACTGCGTGAGCGTGTCGAGTTCCGTCGCCGAGCCGAGCAGCTACACGAGGAGCTGCGTGCTGCCGGCGTGCCGCCGCCAGAGCCCGACTATAACGACTGGGAGTCGGTGTGTGACCAGTTTGACAGTGTGGATCACGTGATCGACCTGCACGGACACATCATCGGCATGTGTCTCAGTCCAAACCAGAGGTCAGTGTGTCGGCCGAAACAGGGGTCATATGGATTAACTGGTAGAGTGCTGCATGGTGCAGTATCACTGCTCTGGGTAACTTTGATAGCTCATGTCTCAATCTGAATGAGAAGCCAGTAGACGGGCATGGGGCGGTGGCCGGGCTGGGCTGTTTTGTACGGATGATGGAGGGGATGAGATTATCATTGGTTCATGGCATGTTATCAGTGGTCTTGGGTCACCATGGCTAGCTCAATTGCTCACCTGTATGTCACATTCTTATTCAGCATTTGACAGGTTTATAACTGCATACAGATTACAGGTTGTATTTTACTGTACTGTTAGGTATGTCTCCCATTTGACCTGCGCGGGTGACCTCTGACCTCTATGTGACCTCCCTGGTCGTCAGGTACCTGTTTGTCAACACGCGACCGTGGCCTGAGAATTACGTCATCCGCAACCCGCGCGATCCGCCGCCAATTGCTCGGGAGATCGACATTCACGTCATCGATGTGGTACGTCGTCAGTCGTCACTAAACTTCAACGATTGATGATGTGTGAAGTTGATGGGATGGGATGGTTGATGTTTGCAGCAGTGCTGACGTGGTGTCTGCTATCGATACCTGTTGTGTGTTGTCAGGCAACGTGCTTACCATCGTCCATAGGCATGATTGGCTATCTTATGCGTCAGTTATAAAGAATGCTTTGCTTACGCTATTTTTTCTTGACGAAGTTGTGTTTTTCTGTTGTCAGGCGACCAAGAAGCAGATTGGCAAGTCTTACCGTGCTCACCGTGCCTATACCTGCAACGAAGGCTGCTTCTTTCTGTTCGTGGACGTCACCAAACATTTCGTGGCGAGGTGAGTGTGTGTAACTCCGGCAGTAGAGTGGTTATCCCGCCTCGCGGCATTTTGCTAGCCCTACTCGGCGAGTTATAAGTGAAAGTGTTTGACAGACCCATTTGCAACATGTTATGAGGTCCACATCTGGTGATGAGAGCAAGCATTATTCTCGATTACATCCGTTGTGATCTCTCCTCTCCGTCTCTTTTGCTGTCTCGTTCTCACCCTTTTCCTCTCTCTCCGTCCCTGGATGTTTTGTAAAATTTCTTACTCTTCCAACCTCTGAAGCTGACCCTATGCCTCCAGCGGCGCCGAGGACAAGCACGCCTACCTGTGGGACCGTCACCACGCCGTTTGTCTGAGCCGCTACCCCCACGCGGACGTGGTGAACGCGGTGGCCTTCAACCCGGCTGACCCGGGAATGATGGTCACCGTCTCGGACGACCGGACTGTGAAGGTGAGCGACCCAGGGCGGGGGAGGGGAGGGAGGAAACAGACGTTCACTGGCAGGGGTTGATACGTGTTGTAGATGAGAAGCGAAATGGTTGGGCTTCTGAGGTACTGGATCTCAATGACTGATAGCTGTTGGACTATAGTTCATTAGTGAACAGCTGAGGACGGCTAGACCAGTTCTTACGTCTTTGGAAAGTCTAAGGGATTCTTCAAATATACACCATCCTTCTCAGTAAGTTCCTGGGTCTCTCCGGGGACGTGATAGTTTGACACCTCCTCTTTGGGGATGTGGTACCCATTCCCTCCCTGCCTAGGCGGGGGACGTGACACCTCTTTCATGCTGGGTTGGACTGGAAAATCTCTCTCCCCTCGTCCAGCGAAATACTGGAGACTACCCGACTCTACCGACCTCCCTGGGTGGATTGGACACTGTCTGACTACCCTCCTTGGCCGAACTGGTGGACACTGCCCTGATTCTATCCCGCCGTCTTCAGGTCTGGCGTTCTCGGCTCAACTGTGAGCAGAACGGCATAGACACTGCAGACCTACCTCACTGTATCAAACACCGCACCAGACGGCCGCGGCCGCGGCGGCGAGCCCACACTACTGCCACCTAGCGGTGAGGTTTTGCACTGCAGCCTACTACCGCCGCCGCCGCGGAGGGCAGGCGCGGTAGTCAGTGCCAGGGCACTAAAGAGTCGTCAGTGCCTTGCCGAGTGTTCATCGCATTGGTGGTGCTTCGGAGTGTGCTACTGACTAACTGTTTTCTGTGATATCGTATGGTGGGCCGGGTCGGCCCGCGTGGTATGCCGCTACCGGAGAGTAAGTTAGTTCTGGTGGGCGGTCCACATCAGTAGGGGGATGGTCTCGAAAGTCATCTCCCACTTCCCAGAGTAGCGCGGAGACGCAGTTCGGGAGGTGCTATTTGTGAAGTCCTGTAGGTCTCCGGGAGGAGAGGGTCCGTCAACTCCACCCGTCAGAAGCGACGATTGCCGAGAGCTTATGAGGACGAGGCCGGAACTTTGAGCCTGGGTAGGTACTGATGCTGATCATGGGATTGACACTGGGTTAATTCAGCGGCGATTTGGAGCTTAATTCGAGACTGATGTGTCTCGGGAGTCTTGCCCTCCTTAGTCGAGACTTGAGACAATAGTAACCGAGTCGGAACCTCAAAACGAGCCAATATTTGTGGTTCGTCATCGAAGGAATGGTTGTGTAACTTGTTTTGCTTTTACAAGGGTTTTTTAAAGTGTGTTAAGTAGCGAGCTTGTCACTATTCGTAGATTGATGACTGTAGCTTCGTATAATCGATTGTGTTGTTGCTAGATTGTCATTTAGGGGGTATGAGTTGTGATTGAAAACCAAATGAGAGGCATCTGGCTGACAAATGAATCAGTCTGGCCACACTGGTCGAATTGGACTATAAAGGGTTCTGTCGTCTCCCGTCCACAATTTTTCCGAGTTCACGTAATGAGCGACCTATCAGCCGAAGTTCTACGGAGAGCGAGTGCCTTCGGACGGCTTGGCTCGTCTCGACGGTATATTTGGAGCCCAGTGTTCAGGCCACATAGTGGTATATCCCACTTCATTCAACTATTAGCTTTATTCAAACGTCCGCTGTAGCTATGATTGTCACTGAAAAAAGACATTTTATTAATTTGTTCGAGCTACAGTCACTCTGTGATTCGTAGTCATGTTATTACAGCCACAGTATAAAACTCTTGCACTACATATTGTGGCTTATGATCATACAGCACCGTCTTCGCACGTCTCTTGACGTCTTTACGGTCGGTCTGTAGTCCAGAGTCACACCACAATTACTTGTGAAGCCACCAAAAAGCTGTGAACTGAGACGGATCACAGCACATTGCGGTTACATTGTACACAATCGAGTTGCAAGATATGCACCACGCTTAGTCAGCTGTTGACACCAGTCAAAGCCGCTTTTGTCTGTCCGCTCCCTTTCGTACGTGGTGTTCGCAGCAGAAAACATGTCGCCCCCACCGCCTGTCGCTACCGTGGTCCCAGCGACAACAAAGCCTACCCTGGTAACAAAACCAGCTCCCAGCTACAACAAAGCCTACCCTGGTAACAAAACCAGCGTATTTCTGATCAAATCTTGTGATATGTCAGTGGGATATACCATTGGCAGAAATTGATCCGAAGGATATCAATTGATCGTAGAATTAGCTGTTTTGCCGGCATATTCGGCCAATAGTCTGTACGATTTTCAGCAGATTTCACAAGGTGGGTGACTGATTTCTACATTAGTCATCCACATAATATCTGTGTCTTCAATCTGTGTGTGTTGTTTTGTTCGTTATCTGTGTGTACTCGCTGGAGCCCGTTTGCCCGGCACTAGCTGTGCAATGGAGGGTGTTAAGACGTGCTGCTTTATTTACAAATGATTCACATATGCCACTGTCGGAGCGCACTCATCGATATATGTACTCGTTGGTAGACGCCTTATGCCGGATTGTTTAGCCGCGTGCTGGGTGGTGCTGTGTAATACAGTCTATTTTATATTTAACCGGTTCGCCGCTCTTTGCCTGGGCTGCTTATCACTTCTCTTGTCGATGTTGACACATCACATATCGACATTACAGATCGACTGATACCCTGTGCTGGCCATTCGTCTCGGTACATTTACCCACGCATACGCACATCAAATCACGCATAAGCCACAGACAGTTCAGCCCGAAACATCTTTCCATCGTCGTCCCTGGCGCACCGATCGGATGTTACTGGTTCGAGAAGCTACTCTATCCGTGACACATTGCACACGCAGAACCATCACATCCAGTCAATCAACATCATTATGTGGGGTGCTACGACAATCGTATGGCCTGCAGTGGACTTTTGCAAGCATCAGGCCAGCACAGAATAAAACAAGCTATAATGCATCTTCACTGGTCTCGCTGGATGGATGAGCCAGGTGCTGCCGCCCGAGTGGGTCTCCTCCCGTCCATTGGCACATCCCCTTCGTCCGTCCATCCTTCTGACTGCTTTCAGTGTGTCCTCACCATGACGCGGCTCACACAGCCCAGTGGCAGTTTCGGCGGGTCCACCGGAAGGACAGGACGGTCACAGTAGCAGAAACACTGCAACATACAGCAGGGGGTCGGTGGTCAGCCCGGTACCTGCCAATGCTGTCAGGTGACATCCCCCCCCCCCGTGTGTTAACTCCCACTGGTTACATTCATAAATCGTGAGAGGCTGCAACCCATGGATGACATCGATGTGTTGCAGTGTCTGGCTTCATAAAGTTCGCCCTATGTCTTTCAGTGTCCTGGCTTCACAAAGTTCTCTACTGGTTATTGTGTTCTGAGGTTGTCTTCCTCTTACGTTCGAGATATGCATGGACGGGGATCTGACAGCTGCTGACAGCCATTCAGTGGGTGGGCCCTGCTACGTGGCTGGCTAGGCTACCGATGATTTTATCTCACGTGCTTAGTTACCTAGGAGGGTGATGGCTGCAGCGGCGATGAGCACAGACGTAGTGACGGCCGTCCAGCGCAGGATCTGACGCCACAGGAGCCTCTGTGTGAGCGTGGGGTCCACCAGGCCGTCCGACTCGTTACCAGACGTCCTGCAGACAGGCGACGGGAATGGGTGGGGATTTGACCAGGATAGTACAGGACAGGGTAATCAAGTTTTGGTGGGCGACCAGGGCACGGATGAGTGGCTAGTGGAGTCAGGGCGGGACAGAGCGGACAGGAGTGGGTGTGTTCGTTAGAAGTGAAAATCCTACGACTGTTTGGAGGAAGTTTCGTACCTACAACTTGGATATTACAGGCTCGACAGAGATGCTATACCTGTCATTAAATAACTCCTCTCTCCTTTTGACGTTGGGAAGTAGTGACCTCTCTGAGTGGTGAGTAACATCGCTGTGCTCCTCCGCACCTGTCTCTCTGCTCGCATGACTGACCTGCTCCGGGGCGCCGTCCAGTTGGGCGACACGGCGCAGAAGGCCTCCCGCGGCGGCCGGTCCAGGTCCGGTGACGACGTCCGGATGACGGCCGACGGGCCGCCGCCGTCCGCCCCGTTCGGTTCCAGCTCGAACACGGCAGTGCGCCGGCCGTCCTCGTCATCCGAGGCTGCTCCGCCGGGCTCCAGCCAGGAGGGCAGCACGGGCTCCTCGGAGCGCCGCTCGGCACCCACAGCAGGCGGGCCCGACCACCGACGATCGGCCAGCCGAGGCGGTTTGGGAGGCCCGGCGCCGTGCCAGCCGACGGCCGCCGTGACCGGCTGGTGGCCCCGGCGGCCGGGGCTGGTGGGTGCCAGCGGCGCGGCCTCCGGCGCGCGGTGTACCGCCGGCCGGGCCCGCGGCGAACGGAGCACGGCAGGAGCGCGGCCCGACGGCGGCCGCTGGCTGACAGTCTCCTCACGGGGCTCTCCGACCTCAGCCGGCCGCTGCTCCTCCTCCCGGCCCGGTGTGGCGCCGCCGCGGTGGACGCGCTGTGTGGACATCACCTGGGAAAGTCGCTCCAGCACCTCAGTGGCAGAGGTGACGGGTCGCGGCCGACTGACCCCGTACCGCTCGTACTCGTTCACCGCAGGAGGAGAGGTGGCTTTGATGGGCTCGGGGAATCTCACCGTCTCTATTACAGGGTGGGAGGAACGGTCTACCTGGTCCCAGTTGAAGTCGGCCTCTCGGTCGCGTGCCTTGTGACGTGATCGTGACACCTGCGTCGATCGTGACGTTAGTAAAGAATCAATGACGTCATCGATGGTCTCGACGTTACCGCTGTCGAATAGCGAGTGTCCAGGCGGCACTGCCGGTGACTGTGCCGCCCGGTCAGAGGGCTCGCTGCGGGCTGACGAGGCTCCGGTGCTGCTACTGGACAGCGGCCGCGGACCCGAGCGAGGCGTGGCCAGCGAGTCGACCCCGCTGGGCGGCCGCTGCGCCGCCTCGTCGCCAGGTGTCGGCTCGAAGCCCGTCTCCTGGCTGCTGCCGCGCGTGTTGATCCGCGGGCGGTACGGGTAGGCGTCGTCCTCGAACTGGGAGTCCGTGCTCTCGCCTGACAGCGGGCGGGGCCGCGACGCCTGCACCTCCTCCCAGCGCTCCAGCAGGCTCTTGCGGCGCGGCGGCGGCGGCTTGTCGCCGCGCCGGTTGTCCGGGCTGGGTGACTGCTGGTACTTGGTGGCGTGCCTGCCGCTGCGGTCCGTGGAGCGGGCCGAGTCGCCGTTGGACATGTTCTCGTCGCTGCCTGTGGCCGACGGCAGGTCGAGCAGCACGGCGCTGCGCTCCGTCAGCAGGAGAGCCTGTTCGGAGCGGCTGAGCGGCCGGTCGCTCCCGCCTCCCGCTCCGCCGCGAGCCCCGTCCTCGGGCGACTGACCCGCGCGGACGCCGGCCTTGCTAGAGTGAAGCCGCCGAATGGACGTGCGCCGAAGATTACTGGCGACCCTTGCGGCCGCCATCGGAGACGGCGTTCTGCTCACGTAGGGCTCTTCCTTTTTGGTGGCGGAAAGCTGGGAGTACTTCGCCAAGAACTGGTCAATGGTCATTTCTCCGGATAGGTCGCTTGCTGTTAGTTTGCTCGAACGCTTTTCGATAGGAGGAAATGAGTTGTTTCTAGACATGTTTGTTCTGGGATTTCACGTATCTCAGTGATTTGTATTGTTCATATTCATGCGCATAGCTGATCTTTTATGGATATCTGACTGACCACGACACATCTTATTATGTATAATTAGTTCCAACATTATAAGCAAATTTCTTTAGATATATTCTTGTGAATGAGTCAGATTATCCATGTTGTTCATATTTTCTCTGAACGAGTCGTGTTGCCGCGCCATATTATCTGCCAGATAATTCGAAAACCGGTTTGCGTTTATTTTGGAAGTTTTCTCGCTCGTGCTTTTCATTCCATAGCTCCCCATAACTTTTTCCCCGTCCTTCTCTCATGTAATTCAAAGTGCGTACCAAAGTGTGCACACCAATGCCGCAATGTCATCATCTCACATTGTCATATACAAAGCAGAACGTAACTTGTGAATAGGTATATTGAAACGAACAAGAATATCGGTACTCGCAGTCTTGCAATTACATCTTTTGTATGTCGAGAACAACATAATGACAGTTGCATAAAAGTTCCATAAATAAATTTCATTAAGGGGCGATAGGCATGACCGACCAGCAAAAGCATAAATCTATGTAGATATATCAACCAATCCGCCATTGGAGAGTCACGATATGTCTTTCCCTGATTGGGATACGCAGTGGAAGCCTTGCTGGGCCACTTCATCCGCATTCCGCATTAAAACAAAAGTGTAACTCTATTTGCATGCATAGCCGACCCCCGGGCCATCCGCTCGTCAATATATGGCACATCCTAAAACGAATTTATTAGTTGTCAATCTGAGATGTAACCTTATCCTAGCACAAAAACATTTTGCATGCATAATTTTCAAGCAGGTATAATAGCATTGCATAATGACAGATCGTATCGTATCACCATAGCTGTGCGACATCGCGTTTAAGTGACGACTGACGCTCGTCGTACTATTCAGAAAAAACGCATTTTAAGAGCTGCACAACGCCTCTAACTTAGCTGTGCCCGATCCATACAACATTGCCAAGGGCAGGCAACAATTCATACAGCAAGCGCTATCTGCCAGAGTTCGTTCACACAAATGTACTTGACGTCACCGACTCACTCGCTCTTATGGTTTGCACAACCTTGATTGTGGGGTGTGTTGACAGAGAACTAAATGTGTAAACTAGCGCTTGTCGGTCTATGGGGGTGCCGATGAAGACAGCGGGGATGAGGTGTCTAGAGGTAAAAACAACTTGTCCTATTCCCCCACAAAGTACTATTCGGAGTGGTTTAAGGATTCCGATCATTCGGTAGCGTCCGACCTTCATTAATCCTCTCACGGGTGATTCACAGAACAGTCTATAGTCGATACCGATGGGCAAACACGTTTCCTATCTTCCACACTGGCTGACACGATGCATGACTCTCCAATACTACGACGCTGAACGAGTCTTCCTTCCCCCTCAATGGTCGTTGTGGCGCGAGCTGTGGCCATCCGTGTCTGGCATGGGCAGCGGGCGCGGCCCCTCCTCGGGCAGAGCCAGCCGGACGCTCCGTCCGCCGGGTCGGCGGTTCCTCTTTAATTCCTCACGTCCATCGGCGCCGTACCAGATGGCGCGCAGCAGCCGCACCAGGCCCAGCTCCGAGTGGGCGAATACGTCACTCTGCCGAACACACGGGATGGGTTCTGTGGGGGTGTGTGCCTGGAGTTCAACAAGGGTACAAACGGTGTGTTGAACACACGGGATGGATTCAGTGGGGGTGTGTGCCTGAGGTTCAACAAGGGTCCAAACGGTATACACTGGGGCTGGTGTAAATTTGAAGCAGCTTAGGTGTTCCACGACATCGGATCGACGATTTCCTTTAAAAAAGAAAACAATATCAAGTTCAGACGGTACCTTAAAATAGGGTTAATGCAATGAGTGAACCATTACATCGGCAGCTAAATGTCTATCACCTGTTTTAGATTATAATGCATTGAAGATCTAAACATTCTCAGTGTGAACTCTTCACGGAGACGGTTCCCCGGTAGTTTCTGTCTGAATCTTGCTGTCAGTGGTCATTGGACTCGATAATCGAATTTAAAAATACGACTGCCGACTACGCCTCAAAGCAGTGTCGATCCCTCCCCTCCCTTCCTTTCCTCCCCGAACTTACGACCCACTGTCCGGCCGGCGTCTGCGCCAGAGAGCTGATGAGCCTGGCGATGGCGCCGTCACCCCTCTCGATGTAGTCGCGCACCATCTTGACCAGCGACATCAGACTGCTCTCCAGACCGGTCACCTGTCGGCAGAGTAACACACGTGTCAGAGACGTGTCAGTACCGATGTCAGAGCTGTGTCAAAGCTGACATCAGCTCTGTCAGTTGCCGGTGCCGGTGTCAGTGATGCTAGAACAGAACCGTGTCATGTTCGATTTCAATGAGAGTGTCAGATTCAGTGCTGTGTCAGGACCGATGGCGTTAGCTGTTCTACATATATCATAGACGGATCGATCCCGGACCATGCGTCTCTGACAAGTGACATAACTTGGAGATGGTCTGTTGATCGTTTTGGCACATTATGTTTGGGCAAGTGTGTGTTCGGTCTAGTCAGACGGCGGAAAGGGACAAGTTTTCCTCACTGACGAGGTGACGACTGACGCACGCAAGTACCTAAAAAAACTGTTGGTTTTCGGAGGTGGAAAACCATTAACGGCATGCCAACGTCTGTTTTACCGGTGTGTCACATACACTTCTGTAACGTTCGTAGTGCTGTATTGACATATTTACACCGGTGCATCTATCCGGCAATATGACAATGTGCTCATACGAATGAGAAAGACAACGCATTGAGCGCTCATATAAACAATATAAACCACAACCACACACCACAACCTTCTTAGATGTTGTTCTCACACAACCTACGTAGATACTAGTGTCACATCGTTCACGGTAAAGTGAGCTGTGCATCTGAGAATCACTTAAGGTCAAGTTCTGTGCTTCACTTGGTGTTTCCTCACTACTGCTGAAATAACAATTTGTCTCACTCCCTGAGATTAAATACGCTTCAATGCGAGTTGACTAGGGTTTCGACACTGTTGTGCACAGACGTTCATTTTTACGATCGCTTCATTCGCTGCACAGCGCGATCGCGTACCCATCAAGAATCATACATCCTATTGTCGAACGTTCAAACCATCGCAGCGCAGCAGGACACCGCCTCGGGCCCTCCCTAACGCCTGTCCTATCCTAACCTCCCGCTCTCACTGTCAATGTCCATGATACTCGGGCGGCACGCCGTACAGGGACATGTGCAGTCCGACCACCGCCAGTACCCAGCCGGCCAGGGGCAGCCACAGACACAGGGTGCACGAGCCGAGCGCCAGCTGACTTACTTTGAAGCAGATGTAGTACGCGTACTCGGTGGCAGCGATGACCAGGCCCAGCCAGGCGTAGAAACAGTAGGCGGCCGTGTCGCTGGTCCACTGGACCCAGTCGGAGACCTCGTGCAGCACGGCCAGAATGTTACCGATGTTCCAATTTACCACCTGCCGGAGACATAACGAACTAGTGATACATTTTCTCGCCACATTGTGCACGGTCGGTAATGAGTAGGTTTTCGCAGAAAAGTGGACGGTAGAGGAGCTTTTGTCGTATTACCTATTTATTCAATGGATGCGAGGACAAGAAACATTGCACACTATCGTGTAACTGATCCACCGAGATTCAAGGAGCCAGTCGTACCATCTGGCTGATAATTAGGGGCCTTAGACATGGCAAAGCTATGCTTTGAATACGATGCACCTTTATGTTCACCTTTTGGAAAAAAAATTGATACGTTCCTTTACAGCTTTTCATATAGGTTTACGGTTGGAAACTTTTTAGTATTTCTTATGTCCCATGACTAATTCTTCATGGTTTCTATACCACGGAAGCTTTGCTTAAATTCAAGTTTCGTGTGTGCGTATCTGCGGATTCCATATTCAGGACTTCGGCTTATTTTCGGAAATTTTGATAAGCCGTTTTATTTCATGTCAGCAAGACGTTGATCAGAAATTTTCGTTTCATGCATTGCATCACGTCTGTATTTCGCGTCGAATTTCCAATGCAGAATTCATCAGTCGCCAGTCATACACATCACAAACTCTTTCGTACCACTCACCAGCCCGGTCAGAACATCTAACACTCTCGCCACACACTCCGGTATAAATAACAACCGCACAGTCGTCCTCTTTGGTCACGTGACCGTTATTTAATTGGTACGTACCGCCCATGTGACCCGCGAGGGGACGGCGAAGGCGTGCTGAAGAGTCTCCGAGGGATGAGAGACGAACTGCAGCGGTAGATAGATGTACGTCATCAGCAGCAGCGTCACCCACTGGCCCAGCAGACTCTTGGTGTCAAAATCTGACGGCACGGCATGACAGTAGGTAACTAGGTATGCGTTAGTGGGTGCTGACAAACGACGAGCTGTAACGAAACCACACAATTCACTTAGTTATCTATTGTTGGACTCATGCTGGTGATTTTGTTTTTGTTTTTGTTTTGTTGGGTTAGGCCCTTTCGGTCGACAAGACCATTGCAGAGCCGGAAGGATGATAGGATTTAGGGGGAGACATTGGTCTGGGCAGGCACCCTAGTGAGTCGCCGGGGCTGAGCCCGTCCAGAGGACAGGCCACCCAGCCCCAAGGCACTCACTGCACCCGGCTACGGGGTGCGCTCCCTCGGGAGCAGCGGTGCCGCTCCAAGGGAGCAGCCCGCATGAGATAAAGTTGCCTGTCCAGCCCGGAAGGGGGTTGTGGCGTGGAGGAGAAGGATTTCAGTATCCTGAGGATAGAAGCACGGATAGGTGCTGGTGATTTTCCTCCCCCATCCACTGGTTTCTGCGTGGTGGAGGAAGTTTTGAACTCGTATGCAAGCTGTTTTTCCTCGCGGTGCCCGTCCGCGTCTCCGTGCCGTGCGGTACAGTCTACCTTCAGGCGCCCACTACTAGTGACATCTATCGGTAGGAATAAAAACCCACTCAAGCAGCCGCGTGGGTCTCGGTCAACGTAACTTGTTCAAAACACGAGCATTTGGCAGTAATACGAATAAAGGTAATCAAAGTATAGTTGATATGTACAGGATAAGCTACTTAGTCTTCTGACTTCTGACAGTCTCTGTGGCGACAAAACAAACTTACTTTTGACGGTGTTCTGTAGCAGCCGTGGGGGAACGGAACACGGTAACCTCTGGCGGCCTCTCGTATGGAGGCGGATCACATAAATATCTGGCTGCCTTACAGAAAGGGTGGAAACTCACTAACCTCTGGCAGCCTCCCGTAGAGGCGGGAACACACTGACGTACTGCTGAGCAGCCCACTGAAGAACACCGCGTGCCGAAGCTAGACACAGGCTCAGCGGCAGAAATAGAGCCGTCACCAGCAGCTCACCGTCCAGCGACATGGGCTGGAATGGAATAGAACGGGAATTAAGGACGACGTGTCGTTTTGAAGTCGGCGACTCTCCCTATATACAGCGGCGAAAATTCTCGAGACGTTAGTTTTAATTATTTTACCTGGTAATCGGAGACACGTAAAATTTATTTTTGCGACTTCATTTCACTTAAACAATAATTTCCTCCCGTGGTTCCCTTGTGCAGATAATGCATTCCTGGCAGAACCCGGTCACAGAGCCGCACGGCATCACCTAGTCTCTAGGTCGGCAGTCGGCACCATTACTCACATCAGCCTTGTCTTTGAGTCGCGGTACAGCCCGCTCCAGGAGACGGACACCTTTGATGCTGAAGTGATCGCCGATCTTTAGTGGTGTGCGCGCGAACGGAGACCGTGCCACGGGCAGCACGATTAGCCGGCAGTAGAGACCGAGTAGCGTCTCAGCGAACGAGAGAACCAAACGACCCGAGTCGCTCCGCTTCTGTGGGTGAGAGGGGAGGGGAGGGGTCAGTTGGTGGGAGCCGTCTGATCGTCCAAGCAGTAATCATCCTTGCTATGTGGGATACATCTTTCGTACTTTTTGTAGTATGTTGCAGCTTGCAAACTGCGCTGTGATTTACGCTCACAATATTTTTATGCCAGTTCCTCTCGTCATTTACGTAACCTTGACTTTGTCTCCTCTTTATAGACAGTAGCTTAACGGCGAGACGAATCTTGGGTGAGACGTCCAGGAGTGTGATAGACTGATATCCCTTTTTGCTAATACATGAGCAAAAATCTGCACTGTAAACGGATCGGCAGCCTTCACTCATTGCAAAATCCGAGTACAATGCGCAATCACTTTGTTCATTTATCTGCGATAAATCAATCTCGGTTCTATGGGCACTGATATGATAGTGCTATGATGGTATGTGGTTACTGGGTGCTGGTGACATCCCTCGGATCGGTGGGTGGTATCCCGCTGCTGACGTATGATCGCTACGGAGCTCGTTTACGCTATCGCTCGCCAGAATATAAACGGCACGACCGCCGTCTGGGTGACTCAGCAGATGCGCACGGGTGTAACGTCTAGGTCAGCTTCCGCTTCACAGTGTGATGACAAAGGCCACCTTGCTGGAGCGGTCGGAGGGACATGGTGGTGTGGACCTTGTCCCAGGATCGGCTGTCACACTGGTCACGAAGGTGGCACGAGCAGACGAGGTGGCGATTGGTGGACGGACAGGGTTCACATGATTTAACACACGTAAAGACGCCAGGTCAGGACTAATGCCGTGACAGACACGGGCATGACGAGCGCGCGTGACCAGTGTAATGTACCTAGGTGCTCCTGGACCGGACAAGCATGCACTTTGTGAACTGTGTCTGAACTGTGAGGCGACAATATTCGGGAAGTGAAACTGCATACTCGTATGGATCCATCATTTGATCATGTGTTTATATGTCATCATGATACCATAAGTGTTATATTAATTTCAATGGCTCACATAATTTGATCAACATTGTTTTCTTTTGTTGCAAACTACGGTATGGTAACACTACATCAATATCAGTCAAACGACTCCAAGTCTGCTCCGTAGTTCACAGCAGCCGATTTGGGATGATACTGTGCCGCAATACACATCTGCCCTCCGGGTAGCCTACATCTCACACATGCCAGACTGGGCGACAACTACTGCACTCGGCATTATACGCGAACAACTTCCTGATTAACTGTATTTTTGGCGTTTGATTGGCTATTTATAGATGTTTATTTTTGTTTTACTTTTAAAAATGTTGCATTCGTCCGGCCTTTTTACGGAGAGGGGGTGGGGGAGGGCGAAGCTGCAGGCGCAGCAGCGCAACATGCTAACCAATGCAACTGCTATCGGTTGACTCGAAGCTGCTTTGATCACCCGACACTACAATTTGCTGCGGAAGGGCAAAATAGGAATAAAGAGCGCGGCACGGCTCAAGCGGCAACGCGTTTGATCTTGTGATTGTTTCTGTAAAAAAGCTTTGTCGCGGGCATTGCATTCTGAGGATGCATTGGTTTATTTACTGGTTGCATTATATATTGGTTGCATTGGTTTATTTACTTTGGTTTTTATTACTCATTCGCGAGAAAGAAACGTACGTACCTCAGTCAGCGAACGAAATCAAAATCAAACCTTTGAGCACACATGTTGATGTTACACATCAAGAAAGCATCGTCAAGAGTGATAACACTCTGGTTATAAGGCGAAGCCCCTTGACAAGTTGTCCCTTTTTTATGCGTCGATGGGCTATGTGCTGCCTGTATCGGTTCCTTTATTGGTTTCCTTTGTTGTAATGCCGGTTGTGCTTGGCTTTGTGCCAGAGCCACTGAACATATCATCACCTATACGGAGGCGTATGTTCCAGTGCTGTCATGCAAATTTTAGTAATAGCCCTGTGCGCAAACACGATTTGAAGCGAGTCACAAACACTCATGTAACGAATAGGTCATTCCGGTCATTGTAACTTTTTGCTGCTCGATAAAATTAAATTTTGAAATGATTATTCAAGTCAAGCTTTTATGAAAGGCATGAAACTATTGTTATCAGGCCGTGTCAGGACAGTTGGTATGCAGAAGTCTGGAAGTCATAATGCGTAGCTGGACGCTTGGCTTCCTAGGTTTGGTCCAGCGCTAGCTGATAAAGGAGAATACCTTGGTCCATGAACCTGGCACATAATTTCCTCAACACTCTGGTTTTGGCTATCTCGCTGGCCAGTAGGGTAGGGCCGGCGGCGAGAATGTTCAACAGTGGGGACATAAAAAATCGAGTCCAGATGGTTGAAAGGATGGCCAGCATCATTGTCATCCTGCTCGCACTGTGCATCTGCAAATCAGGGCTGGAGGGATGGCGACGCGCATGGACATCGCAAGCGGTACATTTTCTTATGAAAAAAGGTTGATAAATGCATTAAACAACTGTTGAAATAGATGACAGTCACGTGTATGACAACTGGCACACTCCAAACCAATGATGTCGAAATTCGAAACATATTTTTCCACTGGGTTAGCCACTGGGTTCCACTGAGCAGCTTGCGCAAGCATGTTGAAATTTTAACCTCTGTTGGGTAACTAGCAGACGACTTAATTTTTGAAGTTTGCGTTGCGTGACTGCTTGACTGATTATGCTGCGCAGCTACCGCGCGTTTTATGCGGTTTCTTATACAGGTATGCCAGATACAGACGCAATGAGCACATTTAGAAGTGTTTACCCAATGGGATGCTATATGTACATATGCGATATGGCAAGAGTTACTTTGACAGGTACGCAAAGTTGTTTATAGCACACACAAACTTGCGGCTCTAATTGTATTGTATTGTATTGTATTGTATTGTATTGAACAATCATGAGCGATCCACATTCTGAAAGTGCGTGGCGATTACTGCTCGGAATCCGTATCCGCGGTTACTAATCTAAACATTCACAGCATTCACACATTCACTCACGTCAAAGCACGGACAGAGACACTTTCGTAGTACCACAGGTACAACTCACCCACCCACCAACCCGTCTAAGTGAAAGTAGTTTTGATTTTTGACATAATGCGCTCACTTTTGGTGAAACATCCGCTTTGTGTCATCAAACCGCACTGTAACGCTATGAAAAGTGATGTCCTGCATGCCGTAAACGGTTAAAGGGACCCTCCCACCTTCAAAAAAGTTTATGAATTGGCATGAAAGTGATGTCGCTCGGTTCAGAAAGAGCGAAAACGAATATCTACCAAATTTCATCGAAAAATATTCACCGGTTTTCAAGATATTAGACTTTCTTTTTTTGTTTACTTTTTGGGATCTCCGCTGTTCCTAGCGACTTTATTTGGAAGCAATAGTTTGGCAGCTGAAAGTGCGTGCAAAGCAGCATATACCACCGCGTGCTACAAAACGTTTTAGTCAAACATTTAAAAATCGTTAGATATCTGCGCTGACGTCACACATTCAGACGGGTATTCCTATGCATTAGCCCCTCTGAATCAAAATGCTGCAATTTTGAAATTCAATATTTCCGATTTAAGGCATTTCTCGATGTTGTGAGTGCCGAAACCGGTAATTGTGAGCCAGGGACCCCATTTCGGCTATCTCAACTCAAATCTAATGTTAAGGTGGGAGGGTCCCTTTAACCCGCGCCCCGTTGGGCTCTGCCGAGCAACGCGCCCGGTTGGGGGGCCATTTTGGCCCCCCCCTTAGATCTCGAGAACCACGCAACATAGCGACAAGCGGTAAACGGCGTTGGATAGCCCCAACGGGGAACTACCTTGTGACCCAATTTTATTGACCTAGGGCAAACCGATGACGTCACAGGTCAGGTCAAAGGTCCAATTTTCACCGTTTACAGGCATTTCAAGAAATGCGTTGTAAAATCGAGTAAAATGCATTTCATTGAAAATCATCGATGGGGAAATGTTCTTCAAACACATAGTTTGCTATTTGAGGTCACTGATACCAGGTCAGGTCACAGAGGTCAGGTCACGGGGGGGGGGGTCACAATATGAAAGTGTCGTGTGATACATGTTTTATGGTCCATTTTACATGACAAATGCGATTATGTGGGTCAGGCAGCCTTTGGGGCCAGCTTAGGTCACGTTTTGGTCAAGGTCAGGTCAAGGTCAGGTCAAGGTGTTAAATTAGGTCAAATTTCAAAGTTGATATTTTTGCATAAAATGGGTATTGAATCGATGCAACTCGTCACGGGGAGTTCAATGGTGGTCTTTGTTTTGCCGCACGTGGTCTAGAATCGCTAAAAATTGAGTTCAAAAATTTGACGTCATCATTTTTGAACAGTGTTTTCGCTATAACTTGGCCAAAAAACGAGATATCGATCTGAAATTTGGTATGTATATAGAAGAGCGCTGGGACTATCACATATATTCCGGTTTTTCAAAATTCGGAAATTTTTTGGATTTTTTCTTAGTTTTTCTAAAAAAATCAATTTTTTGAATTTTTTTGGGTCAAAAACTAAAAATTTTGAAAATCCGAGATAGCAGTTTTGTAGCGCCGCTTTTTGTCTACTAGACCATATAAAGAACTTTGAAATTGCTTGATAACTGTAGATTTGGTGAGCGTTTCAAGATTGCATGTTTTTTGCTCATTTTTGCTCGAACATGACCTCAGTTTGACCTCAATAACTCCTGACCTAAGGTGACCTAAGACTTGAAATTTGGTGTGAAGGTGTAAAATTGATGCCCGGGAAGGTACTGAAAATTTGGCGGCGCTGCGCGCCGCCGTTTTCTTGCTATTCAGGAAAAACCACAGGGGGGGGGCCAAAATGGCCCCCCCCCCAACGGGGCGAGGGTTAAGCTAACGTTCCTGCGGATTTGGCGAAGAATTGAGAAATAAATTTTTGATGTGCATAGCGTAAAGCTGTGCGAATGAATGTAAGTCACATTTTCAGGAGTACTAACCATTTTTCGTCCTGAGATGAAAATACCTCACCTACACTACACGAAATCTTAACCCTCGCCCGCACATGGGGGGTGGTTGCCACCCTCCCCCCTCCCCCCAGGTAGTCTTTATGCTCTGCACTCAGCATTTTTAGAGCTAGAAGCCTAATTTTTCGCATGACTGCTCCTCTATACTTTTCTAATGTCCACTGAAAATTTCAAGTTTCTGTGGTTTTTGGTTTCGGAGATATGACCTTGTTTTTCAGGTCATGCCATGACCCAAATGGCCAATTCTCAACATCTTGCGTTGGCTATGGGCCTTGTGAGCTTTTGACACCTTGCTTTCGGCCTTTTTTGCCAGTCTTACCTCCCACCTATCATGGAACATGTTGGTCGACGATGTAGGTACAGAATATCATTGACCTTGTCCTAACTTGACCTGAAATGACCTCAGCAGCAAAAACCTGGTCGGGTAGTGTGACAAAGAGGTTCTAGCTGGCTTGGCACCAGAAAACGGCATCGTCATCGGTATTGATAAGCAGCGCACTTGATATCCAACGGTGACCCAAAACAGCAACATTTTTTAGTTTGACCTGACCTGGAAGGTCAATGATTGACCTGAGAAGGTAAAACTGGGTATTATTAGATTCGTCTCTTCCCAAAGAATCTTTTTGGTCTTTGCCGCTAAGCTCTATCTCCAACAGGAACGAAATGGCGCGGGGGCAACCCCCCCCCCCCCATGTGCGTTCTAGGATGAGAAAATGGCATGTGCGGGCGAGGGTTATGTAAGTTTTGCATACTCCTTTCAAATGCCCGGTAGACCGTAAGAAACACATTGTCTACGATTTCAAGATGATTGCTTGCCTAAGTGCCCCTGTGACAATTGCAAAGCAGCAAGGAATATCCAAAAATAGAATAGCACGGTCATATCTGCAATGGCCATCTATTGTTGAGCTTTTCAATAATGAACGAGCCAAATCATGCGACGTTGTTCAAAATCATGCAATAACTGAACTGTCCCGATGACACACTAACTATTTCCCCTGCCAGCACCAGGTGGCACATCCGACCTTGAGTGAGGTGTAGTAGTCGCCCAGCTCGGTGGACGTGTTGTAGACGAGTGGCCAGCTGGTCACCGTGTCCACCGTCTGGTAGCGGCGAGCCTCCTTCATGATCTCAGTGGTCACCGGCGGAGTCTGGAGACCGCCCCCTGGCGGCTGCTGCAGCGGCTGTCTCCGCGCCATCGTGGTAACTGGGGGACGGGGCAGGTCACAGTGAGGCAGGTGATGACCGCGGTCTTGTGAAAATGACATATCACAGCAAGAAGTCATTGGACACAGTAAGCACAAAAGGGCGCTGGGCAGGACATTGGGCAGAACGCAGAATAGGTCACTTGATGATGGGCACGACCCAGCTGAAGTGCGCACAGGTAAAGATGTTTTATGGACATTGGACAATCTTTGCAAAAGCACGACGTCGCAACAACCACTAGTCTTCATAACGTTACGAAATACGATTCAATAAGTGATTTGCGGTCTTTATATTTAACACAGACAACGATGGCGGTTTTATATATCATTAATTAACGTTTGATGAGCACGACTCGTCTATTTCAACCAATGTGGCCCGACTATAATGAATCAATTAGGGACTCTTCTGGTAAATATCAGGCGAGGCTTATGCTGTTTGACGCTTTTCGCCCTTTTCTCAACAATATTATTTTGCTCCCAGCTACCGATGAACCTCCGATATAATTTTACAATAGAAAACACTCTAGCGCTGGTCTTTTAGAAATGTGTTTATCTCGTCGTATCGTGTTGATTGCAATTTGCATACCGGAGTCCTTTATTACAGGCTTCCCTCCGAGCACTAGACTTTGATATCAATAAAACGTCTCGATAGCGTAGAAATAGCGAGAAATGCGTGAAACTCCTGCTCCGTAGCCAGCATCAGCATACGCTCTAGGCACACACAAGAGCTGTGTTCGCTAATTCCTTTCTATACTCAGTCTATTGTGCTCGAGGCAGAGCTCAGTGACCGGACTCACCGTTCGTTCAGCAGAGGCACCGAAATCCCTCAGAGCTGGCGGTCGGTCCTTCGTCCACAGCACACTACCACCCTTCGCGCACGGAGCCCGGATTAGGAGTGCGCTGCCGACCGCACGCGCTAAGTAGCCAGTGTCCGGCACGTTTGTTTACGTTAATTCGGGACGGGCACGGGCGGAGCCAGGATCGCGGTAGGGAGGGTCAGTTACATCAGAGATAGAGTTGGATGGGAAGAGCATCTCTTAAGTCTCTAGAGATGCCTGAAATACTTCACACGAAACTCATGGATGCATCATTACAATGAAAAAATGCATGAATTATGTATGCATAAAATGCGAAATCAATACAAGCGAGGTAGGAAAGGCGGGAAAGCGGTATCAGTGCTCGTGGTCTGGTATTGTCCAGGCTCAGTTTATTCCATCTTAAAATCTGACTTTTGTCTGTTTGATGTGAATCACGCAATGACTCACGCCCCGCGACGCCTGGAATACCGCGGGTGGGGGACTCAGTTCCCCGCGCTGGGTGGTGGGTCAGCTCAGGGGTCAGCCGACTTAGCCCCGGTGATAAGGGGCCTCTTTTGCCACTCCCGATTATCTATAGAAAAGCTAAGAATGCTAGAAAAATAAACAAACAATCGAAAACTATTAATGAGTTCTTTGAAATAAATCATTGTCATTTCTCAATTAGGTCAATGCTGTGGTCGCTGAAAGTCATGAAGGGAAGAATGTTGCCATCAAAATTTTCCAATGCTGACATTTTTCTCAGACCGGACTCCGGAGCATTACTAGTAAGCCAAAAGAGGTAATTGCAATGGTGTTTTGTCATAGGTCATGTGATACTCCGGTGCACGAGCGCAATATTTACTGCAAATCATGACTAAAATGAACATTAATGTGTAATCTGTGTCCAAGTCTGTGTCATTCGTTTTCTAATTCTAACGACTGTGTTTCGCATGGCGACAACTGACAATACCTACCCGAACAGCAGCACCAATAGGGCCATAATGACCTGTGTTGTTTGTCAGCAGTTTTTACGCCGTACCTACGTTGACGTAGGTATAAGGTAAGTATCTCACCGTGAGCAACTTTTAATCGGTAGCAGCTGCCCGCAAGCTGTGCTTACCGTTTGTGAACGGCCTCTAGGCCCTAGACCAGCGTGTCTCTGTTCGATCACTGCACGAAAGGGAATACGGTCAAGGTATGGCTGATAGGCGGAGGCTCTAGGTGCAGTGGCGGAGACAGGAACGGACCGGGGGTGCTGCTAAGTACTAGAACGAATCTTTTTTGTTTTCTTTCTTTGCGACGTTTATCTCTTTTTATGAAACTAGAGTAAATAAACATCGCGCCTTTTCCTCATTGATAGGAAGGAATACGGTAATAAATTTGAGAAGGACTACCCAACCGCCCGCTCCCCTCGGAACGGTGGCTGCCTCCGCCTATGACCTGGCGTTTCATCATGTAGCCCGAGGCGTGCCAGTGACCCGGGTCGCTCGTGCCCGGCCCGCGCCGACCCCGGTCGGGTCAGAGCGTGTCGGGAGGTCGTGGGGCGCGCGGGGCTGTCTACGGGGACTCGGCATCTTTTCCAGCTCTCCTCGTCAGCTCAGTAGCTGGACGAGAACAGGCAGCGGCTTCTGGACTTCACCGCAGCCGAGCTGCGCTGACTGAGGCACCACTGGAGCGGCAGTGGGATATCATGGCCTCGAACGTCCACTATGTGTTGTGCGTGTACGGCTGCGTCCTTCTACTGCTGCGCCAGGCGATCATCATGGACTTCCTGACTGTGCAGGATCCATACCTGGGGACTGACACCCTGCTGAAGCTGCTGAAGGAGTTCGTCGAGTCTTTCATCCACGGCCTGCTGCTGATGGGACTGCTCCGCGACCGTCGCTGGCGCTTCATGGTGACCCTGTGGCTGTACGTGGCGCTCTGGCTGGAGCTGATCCACATAGTGACTGGCATCGTCATGGAGCTGCTGTCCAGGGACGTTTTGGAGACGCAGGCAGTGGCGGTCGCCATGATCGGGAGTCTATGGCTTCTGGTCTACTCCTACGTGCACTGGGACCAGGAGGATCGCGACCGGACGCGCAGAGGACGAGGATCGGCCCGCGGCGGACGCGCCCAGCTCAACGGGCAGACCGAGCCGACTCCTGAGCTGTACCTGCTAGTGCCGTCCCACACCGACCCACCACTCCGCTACGCGCCCTTCTGGGAGACCGACCTGGTCACCTGGCGCTGGATCGCCCGCTTCGGCAACGCCTTCGTCAACCTCATCTCTCCGCAGGACCCGGGAGAGGTGCTGGAGGACAGGCCCCGTGGCTAACCGTCAGACGGCGAGCAGCGACGGAGGGGCTTCTTCGGAGGCCAGCCGCGAGAAGAGAGGGAGGGCGGCGGAGGAGCGGAGCGGAGGAGAGGCTGGGGCGGCGTGCCAAGAGCGGCGAAGGTGAGAAGCGAGGAGCAGCTTCAGACTTATCAAGGAGGATAGCTGGTTCGGTCTTGAGTAGGATGGCGAGCTAGATGAGGTGGTGGGTTGTGCACTGAAGCATTGCAGATACATTCGGGCGGTCTGCCAGTGCACAAATTGTGGGATTTAATCTCATACTTTTTTCCTGAGGTGGTGGGATAACTGCTGACTGTTGTGGCAGTAACACATACCTTCGTGCGACTTCCCAGTTCGCACAAGTTTTGGTCTTTCATCGTGACATCGCCGGCCGGAAGCTGGCGTGATGGGTTGACTGTGCTTTGTGCTTTGGGGCGCCCGATTTAAGATTTAAGGACTGTGCTCGCTGTGCCCGTTTTACACAATTCATCTCAATCTGGGCTAATTCGGTATATGCTCGTTTTTAATGCCATTTACATCCAACCTCTCACATAAATTTGAACCCCCTGCATCTTTGAGTCGTTTTGTGTTCGTCTCAGTAACTTTTCAAACAGTGTTTGTTCAAAGTGATTTTGCTAATTGTATGGTAAAAATCGGGTGCCGCGAGTGCCAACATTTCATTTTAGCTTACTAACCACCCTTGCCTGTAGTGTCACTAGTGTACCCAACTAGGATCTTTGTGTGCTATCTTTTTCTGGTATGGGGGCTGTGTGACGCGTGTTCCTTTGACACGATTTTTTAATAAAAGTTCTAACATCCACCGCTGTTTGAATCGATTATGTAGTGCGGTTTTTGTATTGATAACATGACTGGGTTTAATGTTATTGGGTTTAACATGACTGACTTTAGCGTAACTGGGTTGAAAGGCGGCTGGTTGAGAGGCATGACTGGATGAAGCGTGGCTGGGTATCAGGTAACATTCGTGTAACTGCTTAGTGCCCAGGAAGTGACTTATGGAAGTGACTAAGTGATCGAAAAAGTAATCCGTTATCACGATAACGGACAAATTCATATCACAAAACAAAGCAGGCCAAAGGTCAAACGACCATTTCCCGATCAATCTACATGGCATCAGCAATACGCACATTTCGCTCTCAAATCCCGCTCTCATCGACACGTGGCCTTCTCTCCCGATCACGTGACACTCCCCCTCTCCTCCAGTCTCCGGCACGTGACTCGTCCGCCCGTGCGGATCGCTCATCTAACACGTGGCAGTGTGCTGGTGGTCGCTGTTCCGTTTACCACGTCACCCTTCGCTGAGGCAGCGGCGCGCAGTCAGCACGGTGATGTAGCTGACAGTCTTTCGTGGGTTCCGGGAGATGCTAAATGAAGACATCATAAGAAACGGTTTACTTGGGCTGAAGTTCTGCTTTTTTTAATGTTCCCCTAAAGTTAAATTCTTTAAAATGAAACCTCTGAATTGAAGGTAATCAATGATCATGCTTCAACTTTGTTTCAATTTTAACCATCAACTTCAACTTTGACCGTTATCGTCATCGGTGACTAGTTTGATTATAACCTTTCCAATGAACGGTACAGTGACATGTTTGACATTTTAATACGACAGTCTGTCCGTTCAGATGGCTCTTCGTTCTCCCTGTTGATGAACGGCGGCTATTTACTGAAGGCACAAATAATGCTTAGAATTCCAGTGCACACTGCACAGCCACAGGATTGCATGCGATTATTGCGAAGCAAAATTAATTGCACTAAATGGCTGTTCATCTAGCATAAGGAGACGGAATAATTAAGTGATATCATATTAGATTTGTCAATAAATTTTGTGTATGGGCAACAATAATGAGAATGGCATTAACATTTGGTCTGTTAGTTATGTTCAAAGCCATTAGTGGTGGTTGCAGGAGAGAAGACACTTCGCCGCCTCACAAAAAGAGCATTCAGCACCTGCCTGCGTCATTTACTGGGGCCCCGTTCGTCCTTTTACTTCCTTTTTTTACAGTGCGCACACAGTTATTTAAGATTTCAGTGAACATCTCACCAATAATTACCCCCCCCCCCCCAGCCCCCACATTTAAACTTTGGAAAGGTTCTTAACACATATACTATATACCTACCTACATAGTGTGCAACGTGCATAACTCATTTCGCAAGATTTTAACCAACCTCCATCTGGTTAAGATCCGATCCGACCTGCGAAGACTAACCCTCTGTCCTCTGAATTCTCACTCGGACGTCAGAAGTGACCTGTGACCCCTGACCGACCCGTGACGGCGCTGTGCCATCCGGGACTGGGCACGTGACTCGATGACTCAGTGGTCCTCTGCTGTGGAGGAGGAGCTGACTCAGGAGCGACTCTGACGCGCCGTCAGCAGCTCGTGCTCCTCTGAAGTCGGTGCCGACGCGACGGGTCGTCGCACCCTCAGTCGCGCCGCCAGGCCGGCTGTCACTCTGCGGCCTGCTGTGAAGGTGTCCTATGTCCCCAGCCCAGATACAGACCCTGCACCGAGCCAGCACGAGCGGCATGACCACAGGAGCCAAAGGTTACACAGCACTGTGTGCGTCATTCGACGAAGGCTGAGGAAGCAGTTCGGTTCACCGAGCGTGGAGCTGGGACGAGTGTTAGTGAAGAAGCGCTTGCGGTCGCGCGTGGGCGGCCCTCTTACACAGTTAAGCCACCCGTCCGTGTGAGTTAAACGTCACCACTGATCGATCTCCAAACTCACCAATCAAACACCCCGATCCCGCTAATTGAGCCCCAATTACTGCCGGAACTCTGGCGTATCGGCCGGGCGCAGTTCCGTGCTGGTCCCGCCGACAGGGTCGGGAGTTCCGGATGAACAGAGAGGAGCGGCCGGCGGGAAGGTCAGCCGGGTGCACTGTGTGTGGAGGTCAGACACTGACCTCGGGGTCGGCCGCTGGGCGGAGATGGCCTCCGTGCTCCCTCATTACTATCGGCGCGGTGTATCTCGGACCGATTTAATGCGCCCCCGCGGCCCTCCCAGTGACGCAGCTAGGTGCGGTGGGGGGGGGGGGGAAGGGGCAGGCAGCTTCACTGGCACTGATACAAACCGACTGAATAGAACATCTCGACAAACGGCTCCGGTGTTCGGTGGCCAGCAGCCGAGAGCAGGGCCGCAATTGTTAAAATCAAACTAAAACTAGATCGTCGTATCGAGGACGTAGTGGTGCAGTATGCAATTTAACGGTCCGCCCTTCATTGGCTTACATTAAACACAGGGATGATAACACACTCAATGGCAGCCTTAGGTCATAACGAATATCTGGTCGGGGAGACCGGAGGAAAAATCTGTTTGACAGAGTTCCGTGACCACTTTATGCCTAAAAGATAAAAGAAAGGAAGGTAATAATAAGGCCGGTCCCGTAGCTCCGCGTGGTGAGAGCACGCGTTCTCGGTTACAACAGTCCGGGTTCGAAGCGCGACGGGCGCTCGACATTTATGGGCCTCCTGACAGGTATGGCTGCGGTTGGTGGCAGGCCGTAGCCAGGTGAGGTCAGTGAGGGAACCGGCCGTGCGCGGCTATGTGCGCACGTTAAACTTTGGACTCTAAATTCTGCCATAGATCTGCAATTGCGCGGTCGGAGGGTAGAGGGCAGGGTCGCCGTAACAAGCTTCGCTTAGCGGACAGCGGTGGCTCTGTCCTTGTGAATCCTTCCTATCAAAAAGGTTCGGACTAAATTTATTAAAAAAAAAAATAATAATAGAGTAAGATAAGACAGTATATTTGTTTTAATTTTAACAGTCGCTACTCGCTATCGAGACGCATTTAATTAATAGGGAGATATAACAACAATTTCTCAGAGGAACGCATCACTGTTTTTAACTAGGGGGCAAACTTACTTGCATGCCATTGTTGTCAGGAAAAGTCTAACCCGATGTATGGCAAGTTCACTCATTCTATTTAATGATGTCAAAACTCTTAAACCGTCTCCTGTCCTTTTCTACCCCCACCCCCAATATAAAAAGCTTCATTTACCAATTAGCGCCTAGCACTGACCAGTTCGACCACCTGATCTCTGGTGGACGGACGGCCATCCTCTGACCTTTCAAAGACCACGCACAGACCATCAGACGGCCACCCACGGACTGCTCAGACGGTCAACCAGTAGCTTACAATCCTTCACACAATCCATAGCCGTCCTGGCCATACCACATTCGGTGTTATCCGCCCGAGAGACACGCCACAGTACTGAGATTGATGTGTATTTTCGACAGATGACAGTAATGAAGCCGCCACACGCGGCGCACATGTATGATCAGAGCCTCATCTCGGCAGAGGGGTCGTTCGTCCAACAGGTTCGGTGGTAGTCACATGTGTTTAGGCAGTGGGAGCCTTGGGGATGGCGTCACCCTCGGCGCGGTAGCCGTTCTCGTCGGCGGTCCAGGTGATGGTCACGGTCTGGCCCTCGGGGGTCTCGTAGCTGTACGAGCCCTGCATGACGGTGCCGAACTCCTCGCCGATCTGCTTCAGCTGGCCCTGCACATCAGCCTGCAGGAAAGATAGACAAGGTCAGGGCTGCAGGAAGATACCCGATGGTCCGGGAAAAGGTCAGGCTGCAGAAAACACACACGATGACCCGAAAAAAGGGTCAGGGGCGCAAAACAACACACCCGAATGGTCCAGGAAAAGGGTCAGAGCGGCAGATAATTCCATCCGAGGCAAGCACTAAACGTTTTTTTTTTTGTCCGATGCTGAGAGTAGCGGAGACAACGTGTGTTATGCACGGTTGAAATGAAAGTATTCCGACTAACTACGTTTGATAGCATGGGCGAACTCCGATCGCAAATACGCCGATCGTAGCCGGACGGCACGCAAAGCCACGTTGTGCGCTGTGTGTTTGTGTGTGACGTGACTGTCATCGTGTCTGTCTACCCACCTGGATCTTGTTGGCCGTCTCGTACTGGTACTGGAACGAGCCGTCCTCATTGCTAGTGCTGTCCATGCGCAGGATGGCGATGGGCTCCTTCTCGAGGTTATCCAGCTTCTCGGCGGCGGCCACCGCGACCAGGGCGAAGACGAGCAGCTGAGGAGGTCAGGTCGGGTCAGTTACATGCAGTTAGAGACAGGTAGAGGCCAGTGCGACCAGGGCGAAGACGAGCAGCTGTGGAACTCAAGTAAGTCACGAACAGCTACAGTTATGGTTGTAGCCAGAGTTGAAGTCACTGTCTTTTTTCTTAACTCGTATGGTATCTTTGTGGCTATTGTAATTACACAGGAAGAAATCAAATAAAACGTGCTAAAATAAAGAGCAAAATGCACGAAGTGTTATCGGGAAACGGAGAAGCTGTATTAGATTGTTTAATGTTTATGGTCTAACAAAGCCATTTGACGTAGTGTGGGGACCAACGAGCGAACGCTGGTTACGAAAGTGACCGCCATTGTTTAACACTTCAAGTGCGCACTGCGCGACCTTCCATCCTACCCGTGCTGTCATTAAATTGGCTCTCGGCTCGGAAAAGCTAACAGTGCGGGATGTTTTGTCATCCTGTTCGACCTTCTCAGGCATCTGTTGTTTACTCTCCGTCACGGACGGTCAGGCCATCTGCAGCTGTAACTAGCAATCACGGCTCGATAATAGTGGGAGAGAATGGTAACGCAAGGGCGCGTCTGCCTTTTTTGTGGCAGAAGCTCAGGGGTTCCGTTCTTTGTTTCGTGAGCTATGTGCAAGTGATGTGCTCACTGTACAGCCTACAAATAGGACGGTCCAGGTGCATTTCAGTCGACTATTTTAATTCGTTTTACTCCTAGGGGAGCGGGCGACAGGCTGGAAACCGGTAAGGCTCGTGAGCCCACTGCATGATTACCTACCATTGTTTATTGTTACGATTGCTATGATAAGAATTTAGAATCTATCGCTGTCTTATTCTGAAATGTTTATGTAACATTGGATTGCTGATTAAATTTGTAATCTGGCACGAAAAATGTTGCAAGAGGGTATATTTCTAAAGGCTTTAACCAAGCCTTAGACGCCAGAGGCGTTACAAATGTTTGCATGTATTGAGTCTTCTTGAAATTGTTTTGTTCACTGATTTGCTGTTCGAGCAAATAGTTGCGCAAAAGCAAGTCTTATATGCCTTTTATAATTGACATTTGGAGTAGTGAGGCTAATTTCCGATTATTGGAAAGCCGAAGCAAAAATAAATTTCGAGCAAACGAATATAAAAATGATAAAAGAGAGCGAGCTTTGAGCATAAGAAATTAAGGAAAAAACATGTTTCAACAAATACAGAGCATTTGGTACATTGTCGATGATTTGCAAATAAGAAAACACATTATACTTAAATACCAAATACCAAATGAGTAGGTATTGGTTTGGTTTGGTATCAATACCAATTCTATAGTTGCCAGTTGATATCCGATTGACGGGGGAATAGTCTGACTGCTGTAAGTGAGAGACTGTCACCTTAGGTGACCACGGAGAAGAGCACTCACCAGCTTCATGGCGATGTGACGTGGGGCGCTGGGGCAGCTTCACAGGTGACTGTGCCATCTGCCCGGCTGGCGCACCTTTTATACGACGGCCCGAGGACGGACAAGGCCGCCACATCTTCAGCCGGCGGCGACACGGCGAGGTGGGCCGACAGAGACAGACGGCGGGCGCCGAGAGACAGGACACAGACAGACAGACAGACGGCGGGCGCCGAGAGACAGGACAGAGACAGACAGACTGACAGACAAACCAGACAGACAGTGGGCGCCCCGACACGGCGAGGTGCCCCGACAGAAACAGACGGCGCGGCGGGCGCCGAGAGACCGGACAGGTAGGTAGGTATACGGCGCACAGGATACAGACAGACAGACCGGACAGACTTACCAGACAGACGGCGGGTGCCCCGACACCGACAGACGACGAGGTGGGCTGACATAGACGGAATGTGGGCGCAGGGACAGGTGGGCCCGGCAAACAACCGGACAGTCGGGCTCGCGACAAACAGGACGATGGGCGCCTCGACACAGACGGGCGGGCGCCCTTGATCAGACAGACGGCATGGACGCCGGTGACATCTGAATTCCGAAGCCTGGATGCCCTAAAATCCTATATCATCACAGCACATCACATCGGACAGACGGCAGGCTCCCCTGACCAGACAAATGGCGGCGGGCTCCCCGACCAGACAACGACGGGCTCCCCGACCAGACAAACGACGGATGTCTCGGTTCGAGACAGCGACACGATGCTGCGGTGGGCGTCACGGCATACAGACGTCCCGGACCATACAGGACAGACTGGCGCGGAGCGACCGGACAGGCTCTTCTTACTTTACATTTAACGATCACGTCTCACACAAGTTACGAGTTGAAATATTTATGGAAAGAAACAACGTGGTTGCAAACTTGCATGGTATGCCCTAACCACCTACCATCTCACAGATGTTAGGTATACGGCCTGCATAACAAGTCGAGCTGCCTAGCCAACCCATCCCCAGCCTGCTCTGAATATAATGAAATGCTAGTCGAGGGAGCTGTCCTCGCCTAATGTAGTCTGGGATCTGGCGGATCCGGCTGGAGTGGCCTGTTCATGCCATCATTGACCATGGACGTGTATAATGTAGATGACCACTCAACGATCGCCTCATGTTCACCTCCACCCGTTCTGCACCAAGGCCGCACCAAAGGTGCATCTCGGCACCCCGATGCAGGTGGGATTCCGCACCCAGAGCGACATCGTCTGATGTATTATTCAGCATGCTGAAGCGCCGAACACTATCATTCCCGGAGAGCCTGCTGTGATAAGTGAAACGAATGTCTGTCATCAAATCGACGAGCAAAGAAACGGGCGTTGTCTGTCATCATATCGACGAGCAAAGAAACGGGCGTACTTGCCGCTGTACCAGCAAAACATGCCGCGGCTGGATCCGACTGGCGCAGTTTCTGTATGCCGTTCATGTAGACACGTTTAGAGGGCGAGGACGCTTCTCCGTGGTCCTCGCTGTCGGTCAGCAGAGCCACTAGCGACTGGTCACATTAATCAGCTGAGAGGTCAGGTCGGGGCCGCCCGCTGACCGCCCTACCCCCCCCCCCCCCTCCCCCTCCTCCGCCCCACTGTCCGCAGTGATCACCTGTTCAGGGACGGGACAGAGACTGAGGCGG